ATCGGTAACCAACAATGTGTGCGCCTGCGAGCTTAGGAACAAGCGTCCAAGTATTATTCAAGTGCAAAGCATGCATTTCATCCTCCATTGCTTTTCGCCAACCAGGATGGGAAAGTGCCTCCTTATATGTCTTAGGAACAGAGACAGAAGATAAAGATATTGTGAAAGCCTTAAATGAAGGAGATAAATGATCATAAGATACAAAATTAGAGACAGGGTGCTTAGTACAAGACCTTTTACCTTTACGAATGATAATGGGAATGTCAGGACTAGATGGAGGAATAGGATCTGCAGGCGCCGAGGAGAGCAATGGAGGCTTTGAGGATGGTGCTATTGGTGCTGTAATTGGTTCAAATAGGCAATGAGAAGACTGCAGATGTTTATGAACATAGACTTTAGGATATGAAGGGATGAGCCTAATAGGATATAAAGGCACAGAAAGAATAGGTATGGGCCGAACAAACTCTTGGAGTAAAGGCTCTTGTAGTTGACAACCCTCCGTAGAGTAATAGGGAACATTTTCAAAGAAAGTCACATCAGCACATACAAAATGTTTTCTTAGTGTAGGACTATAGCATCGGTACCCATTTTGAGTACGAGAATAACCAAGAAATATACATTTGTGTACACGAGAGTCATGTTCATCACGTTTATGATTTAAATTATGGACAAAGCAAATACATCCAAAAACCTTTGGAGGTAGACAGAAAGGATCTTTATCAGGGAAGAACATTTTAAAAGGTGATTTCCCTTTAAGAACCCGAGATGGCATTCTATTTAAAAGGTATACTGCTGTGAGAATAGCATCCCCCCAAAAGTGTTTAAGCACATTCATTTGAAGCATGAGTGCACGGGCAACAACAAGGATTGGACCATTCTTTCGTTCAACAACTCCATTTTGTTGAGGTGTATTAACACATGAGGTTTGATGAGTGATACCCCTCGACTCAAAGAAGTGTTGAAAGTTATGAACTTTATACTAAAGAGCATTATTAGTACGAAGAATGTGCAACTTGGCATTAAATTGATTAGTGATTTTAACATAAAATGATTTAAATGCTTCAAACACTTGAGAGCAATCTTTAAGAACATATAACCAAGTCAAACGGGAATGATCATCAATAAAAGAAATGAAATAATGTGCACCAAACAAACCAGTTGTTCTCGCTGGACCCCAAACATCGAAGTGAACCAACTTAAAAGGATGTAAACAAGGACCATCAGGTCGACATTTAAAAGTGGCTCGATGATGTTTACTGAGCTCACATGTTTCACAATTAAAAGTAGAAAATGAATGTGAAGAAAGGACTAAAAGACGCAGATTGGCAGTTGATGGATGTCCAAGTCTACAGTGCCACTTTTATGGAGAAGTTGTGGTATGAAAGGCAGAGGAAGTTAATATCGGAAAGGGTTGGAGGTAGTAGAGACCATCCTTTTCATATCCCCCACCAATCGTCCTCTTCGTCTTTAGATCCTGAAAAACATAATGAGAAGGATAAAAAGGTGACGAAACAATTTAAGGTAGAGGTAATTCTATAAATAGATAATAAATTAAAAGGAAATTGAGGTAGGTATAAAACAAAAGAGAAAGTTAGACGAGGGGTAGTAACTGTGCCAACCCCTTGAACTAGAGACTTAGAACCATTAGCAATTGTAACAAAGGAAGAAGAGGGAGTACTTGAAAGATTAGAAAGAACAGTGGGATTACTAGTCATATGATCGGAGGCTCCAGAATTAATAATCCAAATGGAGACAAGTGTTACCTGAAGTACCCAAGGTGGCAGTTGAGGTAGATGAAACATGAGTGCATGCCATCAGTGAGTCATACTCTGCTTTGGAAAGTGCCACAGTCTCTTCATCAGCAAGAGTGGAGATCTCCCCCTCAACAAGCATGATTAGCCCATGTGGGCTTGCCATGGAGTTTCCAACATTTGTCCACAGTATGGTTGGTGCGTTTATAAAGAGTATATTTCTTGATGCCACTGCGACCACCTTGAAAATTTTGACCTTTATTTGAAACATGTCCCCTACGACCATTATGGAAATTATCAGAGCCCCAATGGAAGCTGCAAGGGCAGAGTGATCAACTTTCTCTGGAACAGATACGTTGGCCCGCCGAACTCGATTATAGGCCTCATTAGTAGATGGCAAAAGTATACCAGTGAGAATTTGAGAACTAACAGGAGCAAATTTGGGTCGAAGTCCCGAAAGAAATTTTGCGACTCGAAATTCTTCCCTATATCGTTTTTGAGTATCCACATCAGTAGTCAAAGGCTGATACACATTCAATTCCTCCCACATACCTTTCAAGGTGGAGTAATAATCTTCAATAGAGCGATCTCCTTGTATAGTGGAAAAAAGATCCTCATAAAGTTGATGAATCCGAGAGATGTTTTGCTCAGATGAATACATTTCCTTCAGGGCATCCCAAATCTCTTTAGAGGTTTCAAGAAAAGAGACATTGTTGAAGACCTCAGGCTTCATACTGTTCTATAACCAAGTCATAATTTGGGCATCTTTTTGTTCCCAAACATAAACCAATTTGGCATCAATAAGTTTGGTTGACTTAAGATAAGAGAACTTCTCTCGCTTTTTCAAAGCAACTTGGACAGCTCGGGCCCATTGAAGGTAATTGGGACCCTTGAGTTTGATATTGCTCATAGAACCAAAGAACATAGAATCTTTAGCATCTGTTTTGTCACCCATGGAGACCAAGCAAGAATGAGATGAGATCCGAGTAAGAACAGGATCCAAGCAAGGAGTTTAGCAAGAGGATTCTTTCTAAGCAAGGCTATATTGTGCCATAGAGTCGACAAAACTGTAACCTTTTTTCTTTTTCTTTTTTCTATTTTTTTTTTTTTTTTTTTTTTTTTTTTTTACATAATAAAACAAATAATAGATATTAAACTGTTTACCTAAGAAAATGTAAAACTAAATAGAACTCTAGCAGAATAAAAAAAAAAAAAAAATTAATAATAATAATAATAACAAACTAGAATTTTTAGAAGGCACCAGACTTTTGATATGAGAACAATAGAGAGCAATGGTGGAGACTGGGTGAAGAAGAGGAAGATGGGAGTTAGGTCTCAGGAGCATTTTTGCTCTGATACCATGTTGTAAATAAGAGCAAGAAAATAGAAGAGAAGATTTCTTGTATATGACTTAGATGTGAGTACATGTGGGTTTATATAGGAACCCAACACATACACTCAGTACATTAATTTAGCCAATTACCAGAAATTAAGCTAATCAGAATCCTATAATCAAGCTAGCAGATTTTATGCATCAGAATATTCCTATAATCAAGCTAGCAGATTACATGTAGCAGAATAGTCAACTTTCCTAATTAATTACAGGCTGTAAACAGACTATATTCATGAGAAGGGGCAGGACTTCAAACCAGTGATGTTGCCACACAAGCCTTTATTATCTGTAAATGCGTCTGTTGGAGCCTCGTGAAAGGTTTTGTTGCTTGGAAGAGGGCCCTCCAACTGATTGTAGGATATATCAACAGATGGCAGGCTCAACATTTGGTTGAAAGTGTATGGGTTGGAACCAGAGAGCTCATTGTGGGAAAGATTCAATATTTCTAAGCGGAGCATTGTTCCGAGCTGTGATGGTATTTCTCCCACAAGTAAATTCTAACTAAGATCAAGATTATGAAGAGATAGCAAAGTACTAATCTCCAAAGGAACATGCCCTTCAAATCTATTATTGCTAAAATTCAAGGTCAGTAGTTTAATGCAATTTCTTAGTATTTCTTTGGGAACTGGACCACTCCAAGTCGTGTTAATTGGTTAAATTGAAGTGCAACGTGGTATTCATTTTAAGTTTTAATATGATTAACTCTTTTTTAACTTAATTAAGAGGTTAACTCACTCGGACTAATGGGCTGAGTCTATGAGTTACCTTGTGTAAAATAAATTTAAAAGTTAAGTTTGTCTTCAATTTTTTTTACCAAAGCCCATAAAGATGTGAATACCATTACCTAGTGCTGCTACTTGGTGGGTGAGTATTGGCGAGATGTAATAAGGCATAATGGATCCAACTTCCTTATCTTTAGCTTATCGAACCAATTAATAATCTTTAACTAAGCATTTAGCTTAAAGTCATTGGCCTTAAAAACATTTTAGTATGTATAAAAAACCATTATTTTGGCTCAGTCTGACAACTCTGGTTCCTTGTATGAACTCAAAACTACATAAAAATAGTTATTTTTATTTGTAGGTTGAAAAAGGTGAAGAGTTAATAGATTAAATCACCAAAAGTTATAGTTTAGTCACAATTTTTAACCTTCTAAAGTAAAAAATCAGAGGGTTTAAGTTTCTATCGAAACATGAACTAAAGATTATTTGCAGCCAAGTCGAGATGTTCCAAGTCAGAGGGCATTCCAATTTCTATTGGAACATTGCCCGAAAGTTTGTTATTTGTCAAAGTTAAATTGAATAATGAATTCAACCTACCTAATTCCCTGGGAATCTCTCCTATAAGATTATTAGATGAAAGGTCAAGTTTTTGAATTGATTCCCCAAATTTGCTAGTATTCTACCAGAAATATTATTGTGGGAGATTATGAGGCTTTTTAAGCTTTGACACTTCCCCCAATTAGGAGCAAGTTCTCCATAAAATTTATTATAACTCAAGACTCAAGTCTATGAAGTTCAAATTGGGATAAATGCCAAAGTCTTCTGCTATATTTCCAATTAGATGGTTTCTTCCAAACCTCACTCTAACCAAGCTAGTGCAGTTTTTCAGGCTTCCTGGGACAGGACCAACAAAATTGTTGTGATAAATGGTGATGTTTTTGAGTATTCCCGAGAGGCATATATTTGTGGCAGGTACCCAGACAACATGTTGTCACCTAAATGCAATATTGTCAAATATGCAATATTATTTATTTATTGTGGTATTGAGCGAGTTAATTTGTTGCTGAACAACCTTAGAGTAGAAAGGGATTTCAGCTTTCCTATTTCTGCAAGAATAAAGCCAGATAACTGATTTTATTGGAGGTTCAATTGGGTGAGCTTTGTCAGGTTTCCTATACTGGAAGGAATTTGTCCAGAAAGTAAAGTATAATAGAGGTGTATAGCGGTTAAGTTTCCCAAGTTTCCAATGGAAGCAGGGATTGCACCTCTAAGGTAGTTTCCGAACAACGAGAGCTCAGTAAGCGAGCTCAAATTTCCTATTTCTTGTGGTATAGAACCACTGATGAGGTTTCTGGAGAGGTAAAAGATTCTTAAACTTCGTAGTTGGCCTATTTCCGATGGAATTCTCCCAGTGATTTTATTTAAAGAAAGACGAAGAAAACGGAGTTTGGAGAGGTTTCCAATATGTGATGGAATGGTCCCATAGAGTGAATTATTGAAAAGGCCAAAACTATGTAAGTTGGCAAAGGATGAGAAGTTGAGACTATGGAGGGTCACACCATAACTTGAAAGGTTTAAACTTGTGATGCTTCTTGACTCGTCACAATTGATTCCGGCCCATTTGCAAGGGCTGCCTCCAACCCAAGAAGAGAGGAGAGACTGGCTTTCATTGTCAAGGCTAGCTTTCCATGTTAGAAGTGCCTTTGCTTCCTTTTCTCCCACAGTTCTCTTTGCAGCACCCATAGAATTAGTTACAGAAGCAGCAACATGAGAAGAAGAAGAAGAAACCAACACAAGGACAAAGACTAACAAGAATAAAACACATAGGTTAGAGAGTACCTTTTCTAATAAGCTTACCATGACCCTACTGTAGATGAGCTTGGCTTCTCAATTGGTGGTAAATTTATGGTTGGGTGGAAGACCTTTAACAGCCTGAAGAGGTGTATTTATAGGTGGTAGGAACTTGGAGAGGAATCCTCTCCTGTTCCTGTTCCCGCCGGTTCCGATGTGTGGCCCAAATTGTGCCACGTCGGTTAAAGCAAATTGGCGCTGAAAAAGTTACCATCCACGTTTACTTGCCTTTACTTTTATACATTGTAGTGTATATGTTAGTGTATGTATATATTATATTGTGTATATTTAGAGGAATTTACTGAAATATCCTTGACATTAAAAAATCCCCCAAATTATCCTTCATTTTTGTCGGAAGGAGAAGTACTTTCAAAAGGCGAAAAAGGCGATTGAGGAACGATTGAGGAGGACTTAGAAGAAGATCGCGAGAAGAGGTTGTCGGAATTAGGTTTTCGGAAGTGGAGTGGAGTAGAGGCGATTAGGTTTTCGGAAGTGGATGTGGAAGAAGGTGTTTTCGGAAGTGGAGGTGGAAGAAGGTCAAGGTCGGACTTAGGTTTCAAAGTGGAGGTGGAAGTGGAAGAAGGTCGCGAGAAGAGGTTGCTATTGTTATTGTTACAGTTGTCGAACTGTTGTGACAGTGGTGGGAGTTAGGTTTACGGAGCGGAAGGTTTTCAGAAACGCAGAAGTTTTAATTTCTTTGAATTAACTATATTAAATTCTGTTCGGAAACGCAGAGGTTTTAATTTCGTTGACTACACTATATTAATTTATGTGTTTTTAGTTTTGTTTGATTATTTGTGAAATCCTGAAAAAGTTATTCGTGATAAATAAATTATGTGTTATTACACTATATTAAATTGTATGTTATTAGTTTTGTTTGATTATTTGTGAAATCCTGGAAAAGTTATTCTATAATAAAGAATACAGTATAAATTGATTGAACCCTATTAAATTCTGTCCATCCCTTTCTAAAGTCAGAGGTTTAATTTGATTGAATATAGTATATTAAATTCTGTTTTATTAGTTATGTTTGATTAATTTGAAATGTGAAAGATCATCGTCTAAATTCTGCACATCTCAATAGTCGAAGGGTAGATAGATAGTGGTTTGTTGGAATTTTGCAGTGGAATCTCTTCCAGTCATGTAATTTAGATTAAATTTGAAGAAGATGATAGTATATGTATTAAATTCTTTAGATCATCAAAATGAGATACATTGCAAAATTTTCAAACTCTAATTTATAATTGTGCTATAGCAATTCATAAAACAAGTTTATACCATACAACACAATGGCCTAGAAAATTGTAGCTACAAACTGTGTTTTCTACTTAATAATTATAATTCATAAAGCATTTAACTAATCATATGATTGAGAGGGTGTATTTACATGTTATGCGCTTTAGACCATACAAAATAGTATGCAATGGAGTGGTTCTAAGTTGTTTAAATTAAAGGTCTATTCAATTATTTAATTCTGCAGTCTACTCTAGTCGTTCACACGGGCAGGAATCCTCTCCTATGCTTGTTCCCGCCGGTTCCGATATGTGGCCCAGATAGTCCAGTATAATTCGTGATAGAAGTTATTTGTGATTATTAAATTGTGGAAAAATGAATTGCAAATTATGAAAAATATTATTTGTGTAAGGGAATGCAATGTTTTATATAATTTGTAATGGTAATTGGTGTGTTGTATCTGTTGTTTTGTGGTATGATTTTGTTGTTGAACCATTTTTGCAGTTAATTGTGTGTGTGTTTGTTTTATCTGTTTATGGTTAAAATTTTGTTGACTGACATTGGTGGAAAGGTTGTTTGTGCATAATAGAGTGTGCTTTGTTTTGCTATAAAGAGTGGTTTACAAATAGGTCGGAAGAAGTAGATAGCTTAAAAGAAAGGTCATGTACGAAAAAATTACCTATACAGAAAAAAAATGCAGACAATATCGTTGATCCGCCTCCTTCTCCTACTCTCCAATGTATGATGTAAACCATGCGTAATCAATCTTCTTCTGCAGGGCGTACACCTCCCCCACCTAAATCAACTACTCGTAGTCGTAGTCATACCCGTAAATCATCTGACCTTGGTGATGAGGATTACAATGTTAAGGCGGAGGAAGAGAATTATGATCCGCAGCCAAGCAGTAGCGCATCAGTTAATAATATGGGGCGTGGAGGAGGAGTTTACCTTTTGTTCAAGTAAATATACGTTCATTTTAGTATTAATGTTAAGAATAGCATTTCTATGAATTATTTTTCATTTGTCTGATATTTACGTTCACATGGAAATTGATTATTTAGGATGAATTATTAATAATGGTAGAACATAATTTCTGCATGCCTTTGAAATGGAATTGATGTTTTACTGATGTGTTAGTTTGGTAAATATGAACATTTAGGAAATATTTGGTTCAACTTGTTTATGTTTGAATCGATAAGTCTAATGTTGAGTTAGTTATATTGTATATGATATTGTGTTTATGAGGGCTGCTTTTATGAAGAACTATCAACACGTGCATGGGCCAACGAAGGGGGGAGGTAAAAAAATATTAGAAATAAAATGCAAGGATGCTTGGAATGGTATGACCATGGTGGAAAAGGGTCCATATTATGACGATAAAAGATTACGTGATGCTGAGTTCAAAAGCCATGGAGGCTTATCAGTTAACAAAAAGAAGAAGGAGAAGGTAAGTTGGGGAGTTCAATTAAATTATTAATTTAATTGGTTATTGTGTTGATAACATAATATAAAGTACAAAAGAATGCAATTGATGCTTCCGTACTGGTAGTTAAATGAAATTTTGAATGTGACATGAAATTTATTGGGATGTTGTAGGTTGAATACAAGGTGAAAAGTGGGTGGAACAAATGCTCAATCGCGAAATTCATTAACATAGTAGTGAAACTTGGAGACGAAAAGAGGAAGGATGTGACAGATATAGGTTTTGGCTATTTGTTGAACCTACAATGTGAGCATTTGTCTACCGCACTCTTTGATTACATAATTGGCCATTTGGACATAAAGAAACGGTGCATTCAACTTGAAGATAATCAATATCTGCCAATAAATGCAATCGATGTCCACAAAATCTTTGGGTTACCCGTTGGAATCATGGACATTCCTACATGTCAGCTTTTTAAAGCTGATTGGGTAACTGAAGGTGGATATCGAAGTGGGCTGCATGTAAATGAGCTGATGGAAAGGGTAGAACAGTGTGAGGCTGGTGATGATTTCAAAAGAGCGTTTGTTCTTTTTGCATGTGCTGCGTTTCTAACGCCCAATGGACGTTATAGTGCACATGTCAAAGAATTAAAGGCTGTGCATAATGTGCATGAAATCAAGTCGTACAACTGGTGTACGTATGTGCTTGAAACTTTGATGGCTCACTTGGGTGAATCTGAAGGACGTGGAAAAACGAAGCACGAGTATATCGGATGCGTGCTCTTCTTGCAGGTAAATAACATAACGTACTTATATTTTGCAAAAAACTTATGTGATTAGTATGAATCATGACTGATTAAAGTTGCTGCATTTTAATTCAGCTGCTATATCTGATGAGGTGTAAAGTGGAATACCCCTGTTATCCGACCACGGGCGAAAAAAGTAGTCTTGCTTTTTGGGACACATCCCTAGTACGGGAACGCTTAAAATGGGAGTTGAAAATGGGAGGTTTTGGAATGGGTCAGGTATGACACTAAATTTTACAAGTATTTGCAAGTTCCCAATTTTTGTTGTATATGATACCGTTTCCTTGGTGACGTACATTTGGTTCGAAATATTTATCTGGAATAGTTAATTCCTCTCAAGGCGAATGTGTCCCAGTCTCCGTCATCGTTGTGGTTTGGAGGTGAAAAAGACAATGGTAGTTCTTCGGAAAGTGAGGTTGAGGTAACGATATATTACTTTACGGTTAATGAGTATCAATGAAATTGTGAATATGCCATTGATCAGTGACAGCAATTACAATTTTGTATGCAGCGTTGCGTTAAAGAAATTCGCAATGAAATGGAAACAGAAGCAGAAAACAGGAAAATGTTGAAGAGGAAGGTGAAGAAAATGGAGAGATTGGTCAGAAAAAAGTCGAAAGGGCCTGGAGGAAAACTAAGTGTTTCCACAGGAGATGGGGGAGTGTCCGTTGAGGACAAAGATACGACACTCAATTCTGAAAATGAAGTTGAGAGGGAAACATTTGACTCTCCTGTTGATAGAGGTGAGGAAGCAGAATGTTGTGGTACAGATCATGGCCACTTTAGTCCCACCAGCAAGGATATACTGAATGAGGATGAGAGGATAGAGTTGAATGACGTTGTGGGCATGGCTTTGGAGGAGAACCTAGGAGCAGCACATATAACTCCCAGTTCTTCAGTCATTGATGTTGCGTCGGAAAGTTTACATGGTAAAGGGAAGCATGCGGTGAAACAAGTCAAAAGAGGTGCTAGGAGCAGAAAACCCGTACCATATTGCTTCTCTCCATAGGTATTGAGGGATAGTAAAAAAATTAAATTGACTCCAAAGCAGAAGAAATTGTTGAGTTATGCTGCCGCGCAAGCTGATGATCAAGATAAAGGGTAAGTGTAACCCACATTTGTGAATTTCCTAAGTCCATATATTGTTGTTCATTGTATTGTCGTTTGGGCCTTATTATTTACGAAGAACCATTGTATTAGTGCACGTATACTAATTTGTAAATACTCTGTATATTTGTTAGTGAAATTCTAGTTTCCATATACGATATGCATCTTACAAGGAGGGACATACACGAGTTGTTTCACCCGAACTAGATCTCGAACTTGGTGCATTAATTTTCAATTAATTAATAAAGTTGTGTATGGTTATGATATGATGAACCTATTAAAATTGCATTTGTGAAATTAGATTGTCAAATTCTGGGTAATGGTTGAACCAAGATCAAGGAGGGAATGTGAAGCACCACTATTTTGATAGTTGCACTATCCAGTTTCTGAATTAACACAATGTCATTAAATATGACACTGCAGAGAAGTGCAGGCCTTTTA